ATAGAGTTTGTAATAGCAAGCTTGTGATTGTGACAACTGACAGATGACCTGTGACAGTATGACAGAGACTTTGTAGCAGCATGTTGGTGATTGTGACAGTATGACTACGGACAGCAGGTTTATCACGGAGACGCGGGCATGTGACGGCGGTTCTCGGAGGCGGTGTACCGAGCCGAGTGTGTGCCGGACCGGCCGCGGCCGGGCGAGGGTGTGGTGAGATGAATCATCTGGTACCGGAGGGGGGGGGGGGCTCCAGACACTGCACTCCCCCTCCAGGCGCGCGCCGACCGATCGGACCTTTTCCGGGTGCTGCCGGCGCTGGCCACTAGGTGGCAGCAGCGCCGAGAGGTGTCGATTACCGACGAGCGCCTGTTTTTCAGACCACCAGCCCGACACCGTCAAACGCCTCAGCTCTAAATGTTCAGTGGCAGTGATGCCATTTGGAGGGCATGGGTGGAGAATTGTTTTCAAAGTTGGTATGGCGCCAGTTGCTTGAAACAATGCTTAATAGCAGAAACGTTGACACATTAGGAAAATCTGGGTACATAGGTATAACAGTGCACTTTTTGTACATTACATGACGGTTCCATATAACGTATATGTATATCAAATTTGAGATGAAATAGTGTAATTGACACCGGACAAATTATTAAAACGCATCGAGAATAATTGCAACCTTAATTAAACCAAGTATGCAGTGGATTACTTGTCTTGTTCCCTGAAACTCCTTGTTCATGATACAAAGCATTTTTACCTCATATTTTATATTTTTATAAGCTGTAATCCTTAAATTTCATAGTTTTTACCCTAAAAGTTGGTATGGCATTGCCATACCATTTTTTAAGTTGGTGTGGCGCATGCCATACATGCCATACCGCATTCTCCACCCATGTTGGAGGGTGTTGGAAAACCGAAACTGAGCCAACGTTAGATAGGTACACCATAATACACGTGAAAAATAAAAGGGAATAAGTTCGGAAAAAGTAGTCAAACATAGGCATTGCAGGTACTGAAAGGCTAAGCCGCGCCCCGCTAAGGGGCGGCAAATCATCCCTCCTCCGTATTTCGCCAATATCTTATAGCGCTGTAAGCCCAGCTACGTCAAAGTCTCAGTACCGTATCATACGTCAATTGGACGTGATCTGAGATCTCTGAAAAATTGAACGAAATCCGATGTGATTTTGATAAAATGAGTTCTTAGTGACGGCATGTCACGGAATTGTTGCTTTAAAAGCTCAAAAGTCAAAACACGTTAAATATCTTTATCAGCTTTTAAAGATGGATGGCGTAACAAAAAGGTTGAATTGTATGTGAATGATTTGGACGCATAATTCTAAAAATAAATATGATGTTCCAGGAAAAAAGTCATGAAATCTAAAAATGTTGACTTTATCAAAACACGGAGCATATATCATAGAGCCATGCATGATAAGAGCCTACGTTCTAATTTGAACACAAAGCTGACCAAAATGTTGCTAAGCACAAATTTTCATTTTTTCTTTTGATACAGGAATGAAATAACACCATTCGATTCGTCGTGAAAAATGTTTCAGATAGACACCTTTTTGGTAGACACCTTTTTCACCTTTTTCAGAAAGACACCTTTTTGGTCTTAAAAACCAACTTCCAATGTTGACCTCACATGACCTGACCTTGGGCTGAACTTCATTTAAATAAATACGACCATATTAGTGACGTACTGAGGGACCTGAGGTGGATGTCAGCCGCCAACATGTACAGGTACCACTCGATGACCCTGTTGAAGCAGATGCTGTCCACCGGCCAACCAGAGCAACTGCACGGCAGTCTGGTGACACGCGGTGAAGTTCACCACCGTGACACCAGGCAGGCCGGCCAGCTCCACATGCCCGCGATACGCTCTGAGTCTGGCCGCCGGCGGTTTCTGTTCGCCGCCGTCGCGGAGTATAATACCCTGCCGCAATGTCTCCGAGATATGGGACCGCGGCAGTTTAGAGCAAACCTCCGAGATCACCTGATAACAAACCAGTATAGCAGCGGTTAGCTGGCTGTCGGACGCAGACTGAATGGAATGTTATGTGCGTGCGTGTGTTTTTATCATCTCTCTCGTCATTATGACATGTCAATCATAATAGCCATGAGTCCATGGAACGATTGCGCAATGTGAATACAATACAATACGAATACAATATTTGATGTAATGGATGGTGTTTTTAGCCATGATTAATGCAAATATTTATAATAGGAAAGAAATTGATCATTAACTTGGCACAAATGTATCATTTTAGCAGATAAAAAGACTGATACACAGAATAAGCGTTCGCCGCTAAGGCATCGTTAGATACATCTGACGATGCTTAGCGGCGAAACATTTCCGTTTACATGAACAGTGCCACCATGATAGCACTGCTTATGTACCTGTAACCGAATGCCGTGAATAGAATAGTGTCTACAGCACTCAGCCAGATTGGGGGCTTGGTATGGCATCAACTCGCCTGATGCCTCGTCTTCACTTCACTGTTGTTCTATACTCAAGCTCGTGATTTGCTAACAGCTTAAGAGTTCTAACTGCCACTACGACTGGGCTGTCGCTGACTTACTACTGCCTGTTAAAGTGTTCAATGATTGCTTCATCTAAAAAGCCGTTTTTCGACGGCTTTCTAGTACACATTTGGTTCACATTTGGTGCAGCTTTGGTGCAAATTTCGTTAAGTAAGGTTCATTGTGTTTCTTAGAAGTTATTCTTTGGGTTGCGCAGTTGCCTAAGTACTCGTATATGCCTGATTTGTTAAATTATCAGATATTATTTTCTACTGAAACACCGAAACTAATTCATGGTATAAAGATGTTTATTGTAAAAGGAATCTGGTGCAGATTCGGTGAAGTTTGGTGCAGTCGCCAAATATCCCGTCGTGAAATCGGCTATTTTAAATTATATCAATCAATTTAATGATTATTAATGCACCTCTCATGCGGCCAGCAGCCGTAAAACGTGCGTGTGGCTACTATCCGCCTCATTAAGGGAGACCAAGGCCCACCTCATGGCTCACGCTCTGCGTTTGCACGTCAGCGAGCGTCTGCAGCAGGGGAGGTGTGTCGGTCACTGGTCACCGAGTGTCGGTCACCGAGCACCGAGTGACGATCACCGGTCACCTGACGGTCACTGGTCACCGAGTGACGGTCACCGGTCACCGAGCACCGAGTGACGGTCACCGGTCACCGAGCACCGAGTGACGGTCTTGGTCACCGTGGTGCCACTGCACCGAGGGCCGGTTGACCGCGAGGCCGCCTTCCTCATTGATCAGTGAGCCCGGGGCCGGCTCTGAGGTGGGCCGTGCTGACTGCAGCTCGTCTAGTGACACGGTCAGGTAAGGAGAGAAATCGGTGTTCGGAAATACGGCGAATTATAGTGTACTTCCAGTTATGTAGTACCTATTCCTGAGCACGATATGCCGCGAACTGAGCACGGCAAGGCGGTGTGCCCAAGCACGGTACTGCGCGCACTGAAAAAGGCACAGCACAGCACTGCACGGCACTGCGGCACGTCGCTGCGCGGTCATCATGAACATTTTGCGGTCACACTGAATTACTCGAGCGCTGTGTCAAACAAGAGAGAATACTTTCCCGAAGATAAGTAGCAGCTGATTGGTTAATCGATCGTATGCACTGACGGAGCTATGGCTAGATCGAAGCGTGGGGCTCAACGTGCTAGTATGCAGGCATGATAATTGCACGCTCCCGATGCTCCTCCAATGCGACTCCAAGGCCATGTGAGTACGGCTCTCGCGAGATTAAGCGGTAGATTTTGCACTTTAACATTTCCGGTTATACCTCAGAAACTAGTCGATATATAGTTGCATGCGGTATGAAGATCTATCCGAAAGGTCGAAAAAAAACAAGCACATAAGTAGGTCGCTGCACTCACTCCAGCTGTCTCATTTCATGTCTCAAAGTATTTCGATAGGTGGCTTTTCCCCTTTTCTTTCTTCTTTTTTTCACAGTGTATATAAATACTTTTTTTGACAAAACGGCTCATGTCTTCTTAATCGCTTGGCAGGCGGCAGCACTTTCACATTTCGAAGAAAAGGGATTTGGTGACGACTAAAGAAAGCTTAGTGGCTTTTGTCATTAATCATAAAGTGTTCAAGCTAAAATAAAATGAGCGCAAGCTAATGTGCAGTTTAAAGAACATATTTTATTGGCTGTCAGCTGTACCTGTGCAATAAAACGTGTTTGATTTACGAATCACTTTGTCACCATAGCCAATTTTATTCGCCAGAGGCAATAAAGCTATATTGCTGTACCCATGCCTTAGCGGTAACCGTGGTCAGTAAATATAATAGGTGACGAATTCAGAAGTCATATTGTGTGCAAATCACAGAGTCCATTTGCTAGCAGCAGCTTCCCCGTGTCAAAGTAACGCTGAAGGCCGGTGAAATTCAAGCTGCACCAGTGTCTAGTTTTCATTCGCCTATGTAGCTACTTTTGCTAGTGATCATTACGAACGAGCACGTCGTAAACTAGGTATGCACTTTCTCCAAACGAGGGAGGTCATTTGCAGCAGTAAAACTGAATCTACAGTCAGAGGGGAGTACATTAAGGACTAAATATGCCCCAGTAAGACCCGTGACACATTTCTTACATTGCGACCACGGCTGTGCATGGAAAGAAATGGACACCCGACCATCCGGGTCGGGTCGTGCATTTCGGGTGGTGCCAACCAATGCCAGAATTGCAATAAACTTGAGTAAGCTTATGTAAATGTTTCCTACAAAGGGTACTTACAATTACACCCGTAACGATCCATTTTGTGTCGGTCTCGTTCCGTCTTGTCCCTTTTCCATTCCTTCTCGTTCTATCCGTGTCATTCCTTCGCATCCCGTGTTATCTCGCCACGTAGTGTGCTCTCCCTTACCTTCTCTTCACGTCCGGTCCAGTTCCATGCTATTATGCATAAGCATCGGTCCATTACCTGACGCAGTACCGTACCCCCTGCGAACCGCACACCCCTCGCGTTTCAGCTGATCTGCCGCGGCCGAGAGCGGCCGGTGCTCGGGGTCTCCAGATCGCCGTGACCCGTCACCATGCCTCTGAGACGCCTCCTGCTGGTCCTGGCGGCACACATCGCCACCGGATGTTTGAACAACCAGCTCTACTTCGGCCGTCTAACGTCCTCGCTCGAGCTGGAGAGCTTCTCACTGCGCGACGGCTCCACGGCCTGCAACTGCTGCGGCCTCTGCAGCCAGAACGCCGCCTGCCTGAGCTTCACGCTCGACAAAAACAGTCGCCAGTGCACGCTGTACTCGGCCGTCGGCGGCCCGGCCGAGTTCAACCGCGACTCCCGGTGGAACCACCACAACCAGTTCTTCTTCAAGCCCAACAGCTCTCGGACCGGGGAGTTCTGTCGCTCTGACAGGGACTGCGTGACTACGGGCGACGCGTGTCGCGGCCGCATCTGCACCGCCGACCCGACGGTCACCTGCCGAGACCTGCACCAGATCAACAGCGAACTGCCCGACCACCGCTACTGGGCCTACATCGCCGATAAAGAGATGCTCGTGAAGTGCAGCATGAGACGCGGCGGCTACACCCTGCTGCTGAATGCCTCTCCTTCCGCCAGATGGACAGTCCAATCGCGGCTCAACCTCACCTCTTACGAAGAGGATGGCACGCCAGACACGGACGGCCTCTACTCGATACTGTGGTGAGTGGGGAACACGCTGGTAGTTGCTGTTATAAGGATCCGTGTCTGGGTCACTTATCAAGACACAACGAGCACAAGCATGAGCACAATCAAAATCACAATTCAAGTCTATCTGATAAAAGGTAGAAATTACAAATATGTAAAACCCAAGAAAAATCAAAATGAATCTTTAAATCACTAGTGTTTGCCTTATGAGGTCACAGGTAGGGTAAATGTCAAATCACTCAAATATGATGATAATTGAAGCCGTATCTATTTGTTATTCACTCGTTTTAAATCGCCTTGCGATGACTGATATCCCCCTGCTGCCCGAAATGCACATGACGTCGAGGATTGAATTGTTGCTGTTTGTTGTTTGTTTGCCAGGGCTGCTGATCATATCCGCGACTCCTCACCAGATGCCACCTACTCGGTATTTGTCGGCGGAACGCGTGTCGACGATAATGGATCCGGTAAGACACGGCCAACCGATTACATACCAATTGCCGTTTTTCACGACGGCCATCTGGTACACATTTGGTGCAGATTAGGTGCAGATTTGGTCAAATGAGGTTCACTGTGTTTTGACGAGCGAGCGAGCGCAACTAGTGAAGCGAAGTCTTTTCAATATCACGGAAAAAATCTCAGTATGAGCGGCCTGGCCCGGCCTGTAACGCTTTTGAGAGGCTTATTACTCAGCAACCCCTGGACCGATTGGGCTGCGGTCTTTTTTGCTGGGTAGCCCCATCCCTTCTAACCCGTAATTGACTACTTCGTGTCTCAGTGATCATCGTGGCACGTGTCACGTGAAAAGTCCAGGGTGCTCAAGCTGTCCAAAAGTAGTGATTTTGAGAGGCTTATATCTTAGCAGCCGCTTGGGCGATTGTCTTGCGGTAATTTGTGTTGGGTAGTTGGATCCCTTCTACCAAAGGTCGGATACTCTTGCTCTATGTGAGTGACCCCCACTGCACGTGCAAAATGCAAAAAGAAGAGGTGCCAAATTTGTTCCCATTTCAATAACTCGGTAATGACTGGGGCGATTTCACTGAAACTTGGCATACCGGTAGGCACCCACCAGGTAATGCATTCCCATGTGTTGCGATTAGGGTGCTACTGCACGTGCGCACGTGCAGGGGGCGCTTCCAGATCTCGAGAACGGCTGGGCCGATTGTGCTCAACTTTGGTACACGGTTGGGGACCGGTTAGTAGTGTGTCGCGCAAAAGTCAGTTTGGACCCCGTTTGCACGTGCGCACGTGCAGAATGCCGCCTCCAGATCTCAGGAACAGCTGGGCCGATTGCGTTCAAAGTTGGCACACCGCTACCGACCGGTAGATTGTAGAAGAGTGTTTTGCACAAGCCCGTTGAATATACCCTCTCGCCCTTCCGCACGTGCAGGGCTCACTATCTCGCTCGCTCGTTCTTCGCCCAAAAGGCGTTTTACTGGTTCTTAAAAGCTGTTAGCTTGGGTTGCACAGATGCTTGTAGACCTCATTTGTCAAATTATCAGACATCATTTTCGATTTAAACACTGAAATAACTTCATAATATGAAGATATTTGTTAAAGACATTTGTTGTTGTATTCCTCACATTTGACCTCAGGTCAACGACTTAGCCTCCAGCGGGCAAAACTCCAAAAATAGCCGTTTTATGACAAAAAAAAATCTGCAATAACTATTGACTTAAGAAAGTGACGATATTTATTTTGCCAGCATCGTGTTCCTCTCTTCGAGAGATGCGTCGAATGAACTATAATTTGACCTTTAAAGGTCATTTTGAAAATTTGACAACGTCATGACCTGACCGGAAAAATGTCATTGCTGCATATCAGTCGATCAGTATCGTCGAGCTGAACACATCTTAGGTGTTTTTATCGCTCTAGCATGTCTATCAAAAGTCATTGTCAAAAACTGCTGGGGACCTTTCATGACCTGATACGACCTCAGGGACATAATGAGAGGTCACGGGTGACATTTTTCGGTTCAGCTTGTCGAGTTTTCCTGTAACCTGATGCTTGAGAGTGTTTGTCAAGGTTATCGTTCAGTCGGTGTGGCAATGACGAGGATTCTAGCTTTTTCTTAAGTGAGGTCACTTGACGTGACCTGGTGACCAGACCTTGAGTGACCGGGATCTGAAATTTTCACAACATGTGTGGAAAAGATGCATGAACAAGTGTGCCAAAAATACCGGCGCGTTTTCGATATATATATATATATATATATATATATATATATATATATATATATATATATATATATATATATATATATATATATATATATATATATATATATATATATATATATATATATATATATATATATAGCTGCGAAAAACCGCAATGGGGGGGTGTTCACTGTTCAACCCCCCCCCCCCCGGCCCGGCGCGGGTTAAGTGATACATGCCACACAACCGTGCTCGTAACTTAGGTACGTTATCTTTAAAACCCTATTTTGGCGACTATTTGAGGTTTTCGTCTGTGACGTCGAAATTTGCCGTGCAAGGCTCTACAGAAATCGACCCTGTGACGTCATCAAGGGGACTGGATGACGAATTGATGGGGGGGAGTTATGGTACATTGTACTTAACCCGCGCCCTGATGGGGGGGGGCATTTTGGCCCCCCTGTGGTTTTTCTTAAATAGCGAGAAAACGGCGGCGCGCAGCGCCGCCACCGGGCATCAATTTGACACCTTCACACAAAATTTCAAGTCACAGGTCACCTCGGGTCAGGAGTTATTGAGGTCAAACTGAGGTAATGTTCGAGTAAAAATGAGCAAAAAACATGACATCTTGAAACGCTCACCAATTCTACAGTTAACAAGCAATTTTAAAGTTCTTTATGTGGTTGTGTAGAAAAAAACGGCGCTACAAAACGGCTATCCTGGATGTTTGAAATTTTGGGTATTTGACCCCCAAAAATTAAAAAAATGAATTTTTTAGAAAAAAACTCAAAAAAATTCCAAAATTTTTCGAATTTTGAGAAAACCGGAATATATGTGGTATAGTCTGTTTTTCGTATCTTCTACCTTCACTCAAAGACGGTAAACTCTCTAGTCACGTGCTCCAGCGAACATCTAATTAAATCGACACCGCTGCCAAGTCAATTTTTATCTCGAACGCAAGATCGAACGTCTGTCCCCTTGGCCTATCCCGTTAATCAAAATGCAATGTTCTTTGTCAAGTGAAATGCATTTGCATAAAAACGTGTCATCATATTTTCATTCTGGCAAAATTATCCCTTTCTAATTTCATTATGTTTTCAAACAACAGAAGGGCAATGGCCTTGGTCTCAGACAAGACAAAATGATCGTAACGTTTTCTTTCAACGTTTCAAAGCAAAAGAAATGTGGGTTAGGTTACTGAAATAAGGCGGTGAAGAAGGAGCACAACCAAAGAATATCGCCAGAATCGAACTTACATCTTCATTACAAACTTACATCGAACTTGCCTACTTCATTGGATACCAGAAACAAAAGTGTTAAAGGCGCGGAGAAACACCGACGGTGGTGGCACAGTTCAACTCCGTCATGCTTTCAGCGCAATATAATACGAAAAATGCATACGTGGGTGTTATTGTTGTTATTACCTGCATTTGTGTATCATAATATAAGCCCTAAGGCGTTGGTGATTGCCAGCGGTCAAAAAGTCATGTCAGATGATAAAGATCACTGCAGCAGCTTTCGACAATACCTAATAGCTGCTAGAACTAAAAATGTTTCGACGGCGCTGTAGTTCAATCGGTTGACAAGGTTTGGTCAGATTTGTCCAAACATGTTGAGCTCGGGATTTTTTTAAATTTATGACCTTCAGTGGCCTTCACTACTGACCTAAGCAAAATGCGGTATACCTATACTATATACGTATACTACTAAAGTAATTGTTGAGAGCTATCGATTCTTGCCCGCGTCTTCGCATCTTTCTTACTTTTCGGGATGATCGCGTGAGGCAGATAGGAAAACTACATATAAGATGAAGCAAATCTGCCTGGGGACCCCCAAGCGGGCGTGGGCTAAGACAATTTTGTTATTCGTCGGTGTAAAATTTAGCACAACGTAAATAAAGCAAAACATAAATAAAGCATGTGAAAAAAATATGGCAGAACATATAGCACATTTAGTTTCTTTTACCCAATGAAAAGGTGCAAGCTTTAAACTTTTATTTAAATGTTCTTAGCAAGAGCGCTTCGCACAATGCAAGTACCTATGAACAGCAAAACGTCCTTGTGTATAGGTCGGTAGTCAGTGTACCACTAAACCGTGGTAACGATAATACAAGCGATACTCTAGCTTAAAGGTTTCTTTTCCGATTTTATCTGCGCAGCGAAGGCGAACTCCAACACGAGCAACAAACTCCTGCAATGAGTGGTGGGCCATGCGGTCAAGATTTGAAAACTATACCCTAAAAACGTGCTGGACGGGCAAAACATCTTTGAGTGAAGGTAGAAGATACGAAAAACAGACTATAGTCCCTTTGCTCTTCGATATACATACCAAATTTCAGATCGATATCTCTTTTTTTTGCCAAGTTATAGCGAAAAAACTGTTAAAATTGATGACGTCAAATTTTTGAACTCAATTTTTAGCAATTCTAGACCATGTAGCGCAAAACGGAGACCACAATTGAACTCCCCGTGACAAGCTGCATCGAATCAATACCCATTTTATGCAAAAATATCAACTTTGAAATTTGACCTCATTTGACCTGACCTTGACCTGACCTTGACCTGACCTTCACCAAAACATAATCTGAACCGACCTCAAGGGCTGTCTATCCCACATAATCGCATTTGGCATATGAAATGGACCATAAAACATGCATCACATGATATTTTTAATTTGTGACCCTCAGTGACCTGACCCCTTTGACCTGACCTGGTATCAGTGACCTCAAATAGCAAAATATGTGTTTGACGAACATTTCCCCATCGATGATTTTCAATGAAATGCATTTCACTCGATTTTACAACGCATTTCTTGAAATGCCTGTAAACGGTGAAAATTCGACCTTTGACCTGACTTGTGACGTCATCGGTCTGACCTAGGTCAATGAAATTCGGTCACAAGGTAGTTCCCCATTGGGGCTATCCAACACCGTTTGCCGCTTGTCGCTATGTTGCGTGGTTCTCGAGATCTTAGGGGGGGGGCAAAATGCCCCCCCCCCCCATCAGACCGCGTTGCTCGGCAGACCCCATCAGGGCGCGGGTTAAAGAAGTTCGGGAGCCATCGCAAATATTCGTCAAGGGGGAAGGGTAAAATTGTTCTCCCAGGCCCATCAGTGTAAAGTAGGAATGCGTTTCTGACTGTGTTTCCCTATTCTTTGTAGACAACTGGCGGGACTGGACCTTCAACTACCGGGGCATCTTCTTCACTCCCACGAAGGACGTCAGCCTGCTGGGCGGCGTGCCGCTGTCGCTGCCCTACACCGTCGAGGATTCGGAGAGCTTCCAGTACAGCGACGGCATCGGTCAGGTGTCGTTTCCGTACCTTCAGGACAACGGCTCGCCGATCCTGATGCACGCTAACACGGACGCCGCGTCGCCGTTCGGCGGGCTGATCCGCACCGGCGGACCCATCCGCTGGTCGCCGCCGGCCGATTATCCAGACGATGTCTACATCTACATCCGCGAGTGAACAGTCGAAGTACGGAGAGATAGTCAGGCCGCCTCCCACGGGCAATATTTATTTACAGCGATCTCTAGACACTTGTTAAGCGACCGCGTGCACAATGAAGGTATGTGAGCCAGACGAACATTTTCTAACTTGAGGGACAAGAGTGTTCAGTCTCACATGTCCCCGTCCCCATAGCGCGGCCGGGGGGGGGGGATTAGCCTTTCAGCTAAGGGCGCAACTGCACCGCATTATGTTGAGAGGCATCTGGTGCCGTCACTTGTCGGACAGTTGGGGACTTGGTGCTGCCATCTCTGTACGCTTATCTCTTTACGTGCTGCCATCTGCCCATCTTTTGCTTTCTCCAAAGCTGCCAAATCCAGCAGTCTCGCACATTAATACACGCTTTACCAACCTTGACTGACGTTGAACTTGCCGAGAGTTCGATCAGTGGAAGTAATCACCAAATATTTGTGGGTAACTGAGGTAACAACTCCCTCCGTATCATGTAGAGGTAACCGAATTATGTTTAGGTAACCACTACCTCCCATACGTCTGTTCGCGCATTTTATCAAACTTTTAGACCGTTGTCATTAAAGGTCAGGTAATTGGTCACGCTAAGTGACTTAGCCTTATATTGTGAGCGGCTGCCTTAGCTAAACCAAAAGAACAATCTCTGAGATTTATTCACTGATAGGTGTGCGCGGATGTATGGAACCTACATCTCTGATTATTATATCATTGATCAAAAGTCGAGTCAATTTTGCGACATCTTCACCATCCGCTAACTAACGAGATTCAAAGTGATAGGTAAGTGAAAGTAAAAGGAAGAAAGCTTAACAAAGGAATAATTGTTTTTTTTTTTTATAGAAATCACGCACTGTCACATACATAGGTCCTATACCTGCAAAGCCTTTGTCGAAAGTTACTACAGAGCAGAAAGAGCTGCTCGAACAAAAACAGCAAATTTGCCGGACTTTTGCCCTCAAATTAGCCGTTCATCAACTTCAAATGCATAACGACAGTCGACAAAAAAAGTGGCCAAAGTGCTTTCGATAACTGTTGCCGGCGATGCTTTAGCTATGCTTTCTATGTTCACGAGAAATGAGGTAATTTGTCCAAGAATTCTAGGAAGGTTTTACCGGGCTTTCTGGAATACGTTAACTGATAGAGGGGAATCGGCCCCCCTTGCTATCTCGAAAAGTCCGATCAATGAGACGAACACCATTCGATTGCTCGTATCGTGAACTCTCGGATTGACTGTTTAACCCGCGCCCCGTAGGGGGGGGGGCGAAACGTCCCCCCCTGTTCTTTTCCGTCGATATCTCCTAAACGGCTGGAGATATCGCCACCAAACTTTCAGAACCCCTCCGGCCATCAATTTTACACATTCTGACAAAAAAAAAATCCAGAGGCTATGATAGGTTGGCCACAAATGACGTCAGAATGACGTCATGTTCTGCCATTTTCGACGGACAAAAGACCTTCGCGAGAAGAGCTGTCAGGCCTACAGCTTTGAAGATACAGAAAAATGATCAATACATAAAAGGTGTAGAATGGACAGAACTACAAAACTGTTATCTCGGATTATTGAAATTTTTGAGTTTTGACCCCAAAAAATCAAATAAGCAATTTTTTGAATATATTAGCCTAAAAATCCAAAACAAAATTTGAGTTTCGAAAAAACGGAACACATGTGATAGTAACCACGGTCTTCTATCTACATACCAAATTTCAGATCAATATCTCGTTTTTTGGCCAAGTTATAGCGGAAAAAAACTGTTAAAAAATGATGACGGAAATTTTTCAAACTCAATTTTTGGCAATTCTAGACCACGTAGAGCAAAACAAAGACCATCATTAGACTCTCCGTGACGAGCTGCATCGAATTGATATCCATCTTATGCAAAAATATCAACTTTGAAATTTGACCTAATTTAACCTGATCTTGACCTGACCTTGACCAAAACGTGACCTAAGCTGGCACCAAAGGCTGCCTGAACCACATAATCGCTTTTGTCATGTAAAATGGACCATAAAACATGCATTACACGACACTTTAATATTGTGACCCCCCAGTGACCTGACCTCTGTGACCTGACCTGGTATCAGTGACCTCAGATAGCAAAGTATGTGTTTGACGAACAATGTACCATCGATGGTTTTCAATAACTTACCAATTTACTCGATTTCACAACACATTTCTTGAAATGCCTGTGAACGGTGAAAATCCGACCTTTGACCTGACCTATGACGTCATCGGATTGACCTAGGTCAATGAAATTTGGTCACAAGGTAGTTCCCTGGTGGGGCTATCGAACGCCGTTTGAATTTTGAAAATCGGCCGGTAAATTTCCGAGATCTTAGGGGAGGCGAAACGCCCCCCCCCCCCTACGGGTGGTAGGATCCGCCGATAGCCCTACGGGGTGCGGGTTAACCCTCGCCGGACCTATTGGTTTACGCGCCGGCCAAGGGGGAGGTGGGTACGACCCCCCCCCTCGCCGTTTCGCCCCTGGTGGAGCTAGCGCGTCGCGGAAAAAACGAGCGTGTGCGCCGTTACGAGACGCAGAGATTGGTACCGAGTTTAAGGTCCTAGGTCAACCGGTGACCTCTGAGGTCAGGTCAAGTGCCCCAAGGTACGGTTCCGTTTTTGGTGAATAACTTCGCAAAAAACAGCCGCAGAGCCGCGATTTTGGAAGCATCGTGTTCGCCTCGCTCAGGCGCGTCGAATTATATACTTTTTGTTCGGGTCAGGTCAACTTAGGGTGCTAACCTCAGGTCAAGGTCAGGTCAGCACCCCTAGGTCACGAAGTTGATCGGAAGAGGTCATGTCGCATATCATTTGTATTTGTATATTTAAAATCGCCAACAGACAATAAGTCCACTTAAAAGGCGAAGTCAAAGAGACAGTAAAACAGCACACACCCACACACACAACACACACACACCTACATACACACACACACACTGAAGATAAAAACACGTAGGGTTATAAACACAGGAGATGTAAATAAATAAATAATAGCCTAAAAAGCCTAGTAAACAAGAAACACTAAAAGCACAGCGGATGCGATCACGCCGCTTCCAGCCCTTTCACATAGTTTAACCCGCGCCCCACTGGGGTCTGCGTATAACACGCCCTACTGGGGGGGGGGGGGCTATTCATAGCCCCCCCCCTCCTAACTCCGAAACTACTGGGCCGATCGTCAAAATTCAAACGGCGTCTGATAGCCCCGGAAAAACTGTCGAGCGAAACCTAATTTCATTGACCTCGAGGTCACCGATGACGTCACAGGTCAGGTCAAAATAAAAATTATTAGCATTTTGGTTTGTTCACGTTTTGGGCTCTGGCCGCCGTCGTACAAGTCAGATCAGGCTCATTTTTGGTTCACACACTCGTGAACAGATGCTCTAGATACCCTGAGGGTACCAAACTTGTACTTTGATTTTCAGGTCAAGGTCAGGTCATCACAGGTCACGAAAATATTATATCATGCGTCGGTCACGTGACACATGTTTTATGGTCCATTTAGGCCAAAGATTTCGAATTTGATGTCGTCTGTGTCATTCGAGGTCATTTTGAGTCAAATTTAGCTTAGGTCAGGTCACTTTCAGGTCAAAAAGGTCAAATTTTGAAGTTATAATTTTTCAACAGAAAAGGTGTCTATTGGATGCAGTTTGAGCTCAGGAACACGATGGTGCTATTTATATTGGGCGTACGATGTCAAATACGTGGTGAAAAATTGATTTGAAAAATTAATAGTTGTGAATTGTTTTGCAATAATGCGTATAACTTGGCCATTTTTGAAGATATTTAGCTAAAACTTGCTAGAGCTAGTCATAATAACACGTTCTATCACATATATTCCGGTTTTTTTTTCGAAAAGTCAAAAACCTTTTGAAAAAATGTAAAAATGTAAATTTTGAATTTTATTTTATAAAATTTTCGAAATTTTCAAAATTTCGAAAATCCGAGATAGCAGTTTGATAGCGCCGTCAATTCTGAGTCCTCTCATGCAAAGAAATTGGATCTAGCTTAAAAACTGAGCCCTTGGGAGCGATTGCCGTGGTTCGATGTTTTGCGTCGAAATCGGCCGAACATGACGTCACTCTGACGTCATTTCCGGCCGACCTATGGTAGCTACGAAGTTCAAATTTTGACACAAGGTGTCAAATTGATGCAGCCGAAGGTACTGAAAGTTTGGCGTCGATACGTCAAGCGGTTTGGAAGTTATTGCAGAAAAACGGGAGGGGGGGCTATAAATAGCCCCCCCCCAGTGGGGCGCGGGTTAAAACGTGTCCTCTAAAAGTGTAGAAACTATCGCTAAAAACATCAGCGGGACTTCTAGTTAAAAACACGTTCATGGCCCTCGGTAGTCGGCGCAGAAAACCATCCCCGACGGTCCGTACGCGCCAGGGAAGCTCGGCGAAGAGCCGCTGTGAGCGGGTTGATCGCGGCGGCACATGGAGCGGAAATCTACCAAGGAGGTTAGAAGAACGGATTTTACCGGCCAGGATATTCCTCAGGAAGAGCAGGTCGTGTTGGTTTCTACGGACAGACAGTGATGTAATACCAAAATGATGCAGAAGAGAAGGATAGGACAGAGAGGAACATGGCGAGGATGTGTGGCTATTCAACCACAACAAGAATTTGTGCTGCACACGATCAACCCGCTCTGTGTGGGATTTGGCCGCTCCCGCCCAGACCACGCAACCGTATTCCAAAATTGAACGAACATTGGCATAGTAAGTAACGAGTAACGTATGTTTGTTAAATTTCGATCTCTTAGTCCCGGCCTGAAAGGTTCTGATCATCAGGCCTAGGGCCCTGTTTGCCTGGCATACAATCCGGGACACGTGCGCCGAAAATGACAGCTTGCTGTCAATTGTGACGCCAGATCTTTGATCTCGTCTACGCTCTCCAGAACAGCGCTGCCAATACGGTAGGTGGTCCGAACGGGAGCGCGCCGCAGAGTCACACTGAATGCTTTACATTTGGCTGGGTTTAGAGACAGACCCCATGTGGCCGACCAGGATCTCAGCCGGTCGATGTCCGTCTGCAGAGTGGCAGCATCCTGGCGCGTCGTGATTTTCCTGAAGATTTTGGCATCGTCTGCGTAGAGTAAACATTCTGAGTCTAGATCGGAAGGGAGGTCATTGATAAAAATAGAAAATAGGATCGGAGCAATCAATGACCCCTCTGGAGTTCCCGAAATGACACTAGTCCATTCCGACGTTTTGCCGTTCAGTGTGACTCTTTGGCGCCTATCGGAGAGGTACGAGACAAACCACATGAGAGCCGAGCCGTGGACGTGGAACAAATTTTTTAGTTTGTGGATCAAGTAACCATGATTTACACTTTGAAAGGTCGCTGTGAAGTCGGTGTATATCGTGTCTGTCTGGTACCCCTCCGATATG